TCCGAACACACACCTTGGGATGATTTTCATTGTGTGTTCCAATCCATTAAGTGTGAGCTTTCCGCATTGAATTCAGTCTCTAACGTTGTATTAGAAGGGAATTGGGTGTCTCACCATTAAGGATTAAATGGACTTTAAACCCATCCCTATAACAGACTTGTGCACTAAGTCCCGGGCCAAACTTTTGGTCAAGTGGTCCGCCAAGTTATATTGCGATATTACAAATTCCACCGAAATTACACCATTCATGATTAGTTCTCTAATCATACTATGTCTAACACCTAAGTGTCTAGACTTGCCATTATAAACATGACTATACGCCTTAGCCAAAGTGGCAGCACTATCACAATGGATAGAAATAGGTGCAATCGGCTTCCTCCACAATGGAATCTTAAATATTAAATTTCTTAATCACTCCGCCTCTTTACCGGCGGTAGCCAACGCAACAAACTCAGATTCTATTGTTGAACTTGTGATACAAGTTTGCTTCTTGGATGCCCAAGAAATGGCACCTCCCCCAAGCAAAAATACCCAACCACTTGTAGAAGAATGATCCTCTACATTGGATATCCAACTTGCATCCGAATATCCTTCTAAAACCGAAGGATACTCAAAGTAACACAAACCATAATCCATGATTCCCTTTAAATACTTGAACACTCTCTTCATTGCTTGCCAATGTTGAGTACTAGGATTACGAGTATAACGGCTCAACCTACCCACGGCATAAGCAATATCCGGCCTAGTGCTTGTCATGGCATACATCAAACTACCAATAGCTTGAGAGTACTCAAGTTGTGAAACCGCCTTTCCTTTATTAGGCATCAACTTCACACTAGGATCCATGAGAGTACCAACGGGTGAACAATCATTATAATTAAACCTTTTGAGAATATTCTCAACATAGTGAGCTTGTGTCAAAGCAATCCCTTTGTTTACCCGTTTAATCCTTATACCAAGGATCACATCCGCCTCCCCCATGTCCTTCATGGAAAACCTTGATGATAACAACCTTTTGGTTTCATCAACCTGATTTTGGTCAGTTTCAAAAATCAGCATGTCATCAACATAGAGACATATGATCACACCCGTCTTTAAGGCATCAAATCGGCTATAGACACACTTGTCCGATTGGTTTAAACTAAAACCATTGGACAAAATAACTTCATCAAACTTTTGATGCCATTGTTTGGGTGCTTGTTTCAGCCCATACAATGATTTGACAAGTTTACAAACCTTATGCTCATTTCCCGACATAACAAAATCTTCTGGTTGTTTCATGTAAACTTCCTCATCAAGATCACCATTTAAAAATGCCGTCTTGACATTCATCTGATGTATAATCAGATTGTGTATAGCCTCCAAAGCAATTAACAACCTAATGGTTGTAATTCGAGCAACCGGCGCATACGTATCAAAATAGTCAATTCCGAGTTTTTGTCTAAAACCTTGAATGACCAACCGAGCCTTGAACCTGTCAACAGTTCCATCCACTTTCATCTTCTTTTTGAAGATCCATTTGCAACCTAAGGGTTTATAACCCGGTGGCAAATCCGACAACACCCAAGTGTTGTTCTCCATAATTGATGACTTTTCATCATCAATTGCCTCCTTCCAAAAGGAAACATCTCGGGACTCCATTGTCTCTTTAAAGGACTTTGGATCATCCTCAACTTGGTAACAATATGAATATTGTACCCCCACTTCATCCCTTGAACCTTCCACTAAATACAAATGAAAATCGGGACCAAAGTCTTTCACGATACGGCCTCGTTTGCTTTTCCTTATTTGTGGTGCTTCGGGATTCAAAGCACCATCCAAACATTCTGGAACTTGCACCTCACTAGTTTATATAATGGGGATCCATATATTCTCCTTCCCGATCAGTCCTAAGACATTTAATCGGATTACCCAATTGCAATTCAACCTCGGTTTTATATACTTTAAATTTCTCTAAAGCTTCATCCTTGGTGTGTAATAAATACACATAACAAAACCGAGTTGAATCCTCAATAAAAGTAACAACATACTTTTTATTGCCAAGGGAAGGAGTTGAGTGAAACTCACATAGATCACTATGTACAAGATCCAAAATAGCCGAATTCCTATCAACATTAGGAAACGGTTGTTTTGTGATCTTAGTAAGCATGCAAGTCCTACACTTATCATCATTAATATCAAAAGCCGGAATTAAACCATCTTTAGACATTTCATGCATTTTTCTAAAATTAACGTGAGCTAATCTAGCATGCCAAATCATACAATCATTCATGGAAGATGCCACAAAAACAGAATTATCACTAAAAATTAATTTATTCACAACATTCAAACGAAACATGCGATTTGATAAATATCCAAAACCAACAAACACACCACCCTTGGACAGAATATATTTATCGGATTCAATCACTTGTTTGAATCCCAAATTATTCAATATACTTCCCGAAACAAGATTCTTTCGAACCTTCGGTACATACAAAACATCAAACAACGTAATTGTTTTTCCAGAAGTAAATTCTAAAACAACTACACCCTTTCCCAAGATAGGCACCATTGACTCATCTCCCATGCGTAAGAAGGAACCGACCTCCACTGGTTCTAGGTCTTCAAACCATCCTTTATCCTTACACACATGGCTCGTAGCCCCCGAGTCAATCCACCATGCACAGTCATCATCCTGTACATAAAAAGATTCTGGAATGAGTGATACATAATTCTGGACAGAATTATCAAAGTTAGTCAGGAACTGACCTCCTTTCCGTGGAACCAGGTCCTTAGACCGTTCATGTCCACTGCCACTCGTTCCAGCGCCATTCTTGTTCAGTTTCACACGGCAATCACGCTTGACATGTCCAACCTTTTGACACCTCCAACAAACCAAACCTTTCGGTTTCTTGTTGGGTTTGTCATGGTCTTCATACTTGCGCTTTTTATCTTTCCCCTTATCTTTCAGGTTAGATTTATTATCCTCAATCAAGTGAACATGAGCCAGTCTAGATTCAACTTCGCCCATAATTTGGTCATTCTCTTGCACACGAAGATTCTCCTCAATGCGCAAGTGACTCCCAAGTTGAACCAATGACAGTTCCTCATCTTGATGTTTTAAAGAACGTTTAAAATCCTTCCAAGAGGGTGGAAGTTTGTCAATTATACTCGACACGGCATAGGACTCATCAACACCTATCTTGTGGAGTTTAAATTGACCAAGAACACGAAGGAGTTCATTGTATTGTTCCATAACCGACCTTGAGTCAACCATTTTATAATTATTAAAATCACTCACCAAGAACTTCTTACTAGAAGCATCCTCGGTGATGTATTTTGACTCAAGAGAATTCCACAATTCCTTCGCACTCTCAATGTTTTGGTAAATATCAAATAACGCATCGGACATACCGTTAAGAATGTGGCCTCTACATATGTAGTCATCGTTCTCCCACTTGTTACGCCTCCTAGTTTGTTCCAAGGTTTCGTCCTCCATCACTTCCGGCATCGGAGTGCTCAACACGTACACAACTTTCAAAGTGGTGAGAAGGAAGTGCATCTTCTTTTGCCATCTACGGAAATCGTTCCTTTAAAACTTGTCCAATTTGTTGAACTTGAATGTCATCTCTTCCACGGTACTCATGATTATCACAAAGAAAATATAAATTCGATTGTTGGGGTATATCACGTAGGGGGTGATAATCGAGTACTTGGATTACTTAAGGATCGTGTAAGATCACTTTCTGAATTGATATTTCTCCCCTATACCTGGGTTACAAGAAATTCAATCTAGGATAATCCTTAAGGACACTATAGAACTTAGACACAAGAACTAGAGCTAAACTAGTGAGTATATGGATTGATATCTAAAGTTGAATGCCAAAAATGATATGATGAAGATATATTGGATATCTTTTCTCATCCTTCTCTGTACGAAATATGGTGATATATAACCATATTACACGTCCTGGGCAGTTGCAACACGTTCTGGAATAACTGTGACAGTTTTTGGAAAAACTGCACGAAATTGCCCAACCGCTCTAGACCTCGGTCTAGAACTATATAGTTGGTCTACTGAGTGTTCTACCTCGAGTTCCACTGCCGTAGACACTTTGGAATAGAACTCGTTCTTATATACAAGTGTGCACTCCACACCTCCTAGCTTGTATTAGAACACGATTCTAATCCTCATTGGCACTCATGTCATTTCCAATTACACAAAACGGTCAGTGACACTAAAATCACCAACGATGCTTGCTTCTTTTTTAAAGTTGAGCTTGAGGATTATGAGAACTTATGTTTGGGGTACAGGGGGCGGTTTCTAGGAAGTACGTAGGTGGATTTTGCCTATATCCTCCTAACGGGAAGAGGCATTATGTTATGTACTAAACTATTGATTTAAGATCATTATAAGTTGAGGTAAGCTGTTAGACTTCATCATTATTTCTTTCAGTTTTTTAATTATTTAAGATTTATAAACATACTTAAAAAGGGAATCCTAACCTTATTTAATTTTCTCTCGTTTTTTATTTCCCACATGCGACCTGGAAAGCACGAACCTGACTTGAAATAATATTAAATTATTATATCACAAGTAAAATAAAACAAAACTTTTGACCCGTGCAAACATTAAATTAATAAGTTGAGGTAGCCTCCTAGATTCCATCCACCTTATATATGTATTTAGCGATGCATATATATTAATAAATGTAAAAAACACCCTCTCAGGAAGAGACACGGGATTCAGTTTTTATATATATAAAGATATGAAGATATATATGGACCATCTTATGGAGAATAATTTCTCATTAAGATGGAATATTATTTTCTAATATGGAAAATGTTCTTACATAATACACATTCAGTTTGCTTTATTTAGCATTTACATTAAAGAACCGTACAATTTCCGCCACTATTTATTTATTTCATTAACATACGGAGTAATAAAAGTGAGAGCTAGCATTACGCTGGTCTTTGAAAATCAATGATGACCAGTTAACTTTACATATGGATGGCCCCAAATGAGTTTATAGTATACATTACATATAAAACTGCCCGCTCTTATTTGTAGTACTTTCCCCGGGCCATTTTAGAAACACCAAAACAAAAAGTGTATTTGGAACAAGATTGGGTTTTGAACAAGATCATTAGATTTCAAAGCCGTATAAAGTTTTTGTTTCTTGAATTCCATGCTCGATTAGATTGATCTTCCAATTGTCAAAGCAACACAGTTTTGTTGGCATACGGCGATTCGATCATGTGTGGCTTTTAATAATTTCTCATATGTGCACGAAGAATTGAATCAGGTTGGTTAATCAATAGCCTGTGAATATGATAACTTCCAGAAAAAAAAATATTATTAGCGAAGCATTTGTTATGTAATGCATGTAAAATGAACTTTTTTCCATCAAGCATTTTTATTAACTTAGTTATGTTTCATAAAACTGGACCCTGTTTGATAATTGTGAACTTCGGTTGAATTTGTAGAATTTGCAAAATTAAATCGATATGATATCAACAACAAAATTAACTTACATATTTGCAGCTTCATGGCCACTTTGATTAGTGGATAGCCTTGAATATGGCTCATTCTTGGGTTGCTAAACTTGCTGAATTGAGAGAAATATTTAATCTTTTTCTTCAATAATGATGTTACATCGAAATGAATGCTATAAATATCATTTTAATTCATTTCATCAATTTCAATTAAAAGCGCATTTTGTAAATCTTGTGGAATGTAAATTCTGCAGTTGGTAGCCTAGGACAGCAGTTGTTATATGCAAGTGTTAAAATGTTTGGATTCAGCATAAGAACAAGACAGAATAATGCATCTGCGTCTCCAAGAACAACAGACTCACCAAGGGTCACTGCTGGTTCACCAGCCTCTGCTGGTTCACCAAGACATATGGGCACCCCCGGGACCAAAGGCTCCCCTAAACAAGTTGAGGTTGGGGAGATTGACACAAGTGCCCCTTTTCAATCGGTCAAAGCTGCTGTTAGTTTATTTCGTGAAGCCGGTGCTTCCCCTATGTCACAGCCTGCCACAATCAAGAAATCTGCAAAAACTCTTGAAGAGGTATCGTTCCTACTTCCTAGTGCCCATATCATACATTTACATATCTTCTTTGGGATTATATCCTCCAACCCAATTTTGGGTGTGTTCCCTCTCAGACTCCAAGTGTTTGATTTTCACCATGTGTTACATCATGAGCGATTCAATGTACGTGACAAAAATCTAACAAGTGGAATACTAGTACTAGGTGGAATGGAGGATGTGTATCGCCTTTGCTGATCTTATTATAGGAGTAACTCAATATTTATATGTTTGTTCGGGTTTTCATGAAATGGCTGTTGTAACTCGATTGAGCCTAGTATGCGCTCATCTTCTCTTCAAGGTTGTTAGTTAAACATGTTAATTTGGAGTTTAATGCTTACCCCACATCAGATAATGGGGTAATTTTTTTTTTCTTTCTGTTTTGGCTATCTGAAAGTGGTGTCACCTTGTTTGCTTTTGGCAGCGAGTTTTGGTGAAGGAAACTCAGCTTCACTTGATAATGAAAGAGCTGGACGGGTTGAAAGAGCAGCTTAGAAACACAGAAGCCACAAAACTGCAAGCTCTCCGGGACCTAGAAAAGGCCAAGAGAACGCTCCATGATCTCACCAGCAAACTAGAAACCGTCTGCGAGGCAAAGCAGGCTGCCATCGAGTCAACAGAGGCCGCTAAAGTTAAAGCGAAAGAGCTCGAAATGCAGAAATCTAGCAAACCTGCTGCCATCTCCGGAGACGATGCCTGGAAACTTCATGTCGACAGCGAGAGAGAACAGTACAAGGCCTCAGCCGGGGAACTCAACTATGCCAAACAAGAGCTGGCAAATCTAAGACAAGACTTTGATGCGGTTTTGGAAGCTAAACTCTCCGCATTCCAAGAAGCCGCTGACGCTCACCACTTAACTGCGGTCAACCGGGAGAGGGCGAATGAGTTTTCGAAAGAGGTCTCTGCTCTGCGAGAAACTTTAGCTCAGGTAAAGCTCGCTCCTCTCCAGGCCCAAGAAGAGAACGCAAAGTTAAACGCAGAGAAAGAATCCCACCTGCATAGTCTTAAAATGGCCAAGGAAGAGGCAGACAGGAAACTGAGCATCCTGAGAGAAGAAGCAGATCCTGCAGTGAACAAAAGTCTGGCAGAGAAGCTTGAAGAAACAAACGCCATGATCGAGGTTCTCCGAGAACAGCTAAACAACGTCAAGGTTTCAGACAACACAGCATGGAGAGAAGTGAGTGCTGAGAAGGAGAATGCTGAGAGAGCTTTACAGGAGATTCATGCAGAGGAAGAATCTTTAAAGAGTCTCGTGGGTTCTCTTAGGGAAGAGCTGGAAAACGTGAATAAACTCCGCACTGAGTTGAGAAACAAGGTGGAGGAAACAGATTCTCTGGCGGAGAGATTGCGGGTGGAGCTTGACAGAAACAAGAAGGAGCTTGAAGCAACTATCGCAGGAATTAAAAAGCCAGAGGAGGAAATAAATTCAAAAATTCAAGAACTGTCCTTAGAGGCAGACCGGGCAATTAGGGAAGCCGAGGATATGAAAAAGAGTGCAGAAATTTTCAAACAAGAAGCACAAGCTGCCCGAATCGCGACTCGGGCAGCAGAAGAGAAGCTGGAGGTTGCTCTAAAAGAAGCGGAGGAAGCAAAAGCAGCACAGAGAGTCGCAGACTATAAAATCCACAATGCGTCAAGAAAGTTTACCACCTGTAATGGAGAAGAAGATCAGGCTGCTGCTGCTAATATATCAGAGCCGCCAAACGGAGGAATCAAGCTGTCAAATGAGGAATACCAATCTTTGTGCAACAAAGTAGAAAAACTTAAAACCGAGGCCGATATAAAGGTGGCAACGGTAATGGCCCAAGTGGAGAGCATCAATAGGAGCGAGAAGGAATTGGTGAAGAAAGTGGAAGAGAGGATGAGGGAGGCTGAGGAGGTGGAAGCTGCAACCAGAGATGCGGTGAAGAGGGCAGAAGTGGATGAGGCTGCCAAACTAGTCATCGAAGGGGAGTTGCTCAGGTGGCGTCATGAAGAGGGGGGTCATCTTGTAGCAGAGAAGACTCATATTGAAGGACGTTAAAAATCAAAATCATAGAGATATTTATTACTGTAGAATATTTTTTGTGTTGTGCACAGTTAGTTTAGCATACCTGTTTGTATGAACGCAACCATTTCTGCTACAAAATACATGTAACGGACATTTAATAGTGTCATTTGATAAAAACGCCTATGTTAAAGTGTTATCAGTAAAATAACAATATCAACTATACATTTTAGATCTTATCAGGTTGACATTTAAGGCAAAATATCAAACCTTCATTCTCTATTTCTCTCTCTACTTAATCAGACTTAATGGTTAATCATCTTATCATTGTATTACCTTAATCCTTCTTCCTTCACACATAATTTCGGATCATTCTCTCTACTTAATCCAGAAACATTTCTTCTCGAGGTCTCCCTTCTCTCTTCGTTTCTCGTCCCAAAATTTTCATCAACCAAACTCCAACCACAATTAATCACTTCCGTATTTGAGATTAAATACAAAATTATCAACAATGCTCCGATGATTGTTTTTCGAAATGTTGTTAGACATGACTCCCAATAAAAATATTTCCTGGTTGTGACTTGCGGTGAGCATCATCCCTCAGATGATTGAAATATATTTTGGAAGTGTCAAATAATTATAATATTTCCTGGTTGTGGTGCGCAAAAAAAGGTGTTGAAGACTTGTGTTTCAAAATGACAAACTACTCATTAAATTCACTTATTATATCTAGAACATCAAATAAAAAACTAATGCAACATGTTAACATGTGGTATAGCAACAACAAAAAGGTAGTATATATATGCATTTGGTTTAAATGTTTCAAATAGAACCACATTTTTTATTTTCTTTAAGCTAAACGGCAGAGCAAAACATTCATTTTTCCTCACCTAGGCATGCAATTACCCGCAAGGAACACAAAAGGCACATTAGATTTTCATCATAACATATAAGCTACGAGTACTTTTATTAATATAATGGTGGGGCATTGTTGTCGATACATTATTCTCAAACAGCTACCAAGCTTGGGCATAGAACAACAACGTAAAACCCTATGATACCAAGTTTTTTTTTTTTTTTGCAATTCCCTATGATACCAAGTTAAAGCTCAGATTTCTACATTAGCTTCCATATTTGTTATTTATTCCGTGAGATATTTAATCTGATTCTTATATAGTTATTATTATACAGTATATGTATATAGCCATTTTCCTATATGAAAGGCAAGGGTTAGAAGAACAGTGACCTAACTGCACTAAAAAATCAATGGCAGTTGTCAATTTTCAGGTCTTCCAATGACTCTGAAATTCTCTCTTTGTTTCCAAAAGTTTGTAACTCGGATGCCATCTTCTTGACAAATTCGGTTCCTTCAGTTTCGGTTTTAGGAAAATCAACATGAAAAGAGCCTTGTTTTAGTGGAATGAGAGGTGCACGGCTCAATCCCTGCTCCTTCATGTAATTGTAATGTTGTTGGTGAAAATGATGGTCCACCAAAAAGCAATTATCATCAGGTCCCTCGAAGTACCGAGATGACCCGGAACCTTTTCTACGACAAAAGTGGGGAAGAGACGAATACTCCATTATCTGCACCAAACATTAAAAATAACACGGGGCTAATCTCATCTCGCTTCAATGTGACTATAAAATGTAGGCAACAGTACTAAGGTGTATATGAACTTCGCTCTAACTCACTCCAACATGACCCACAAGAAAGTGATGTTTATCTCACAGTTACTAGACTAAGAAACAGTAGCCACCAAAGTGCAAATTCAACATGCGTCTAACCCAAGCCAGTCTGAACAACTACACACATGGACATGTGAGCTTAAACCAAACCCACAAAGGAGTTGCAACAAAGCACTGGTTGGTAAAACGTCTCACAAACTACAAGCTACACGCCTACACCTATACAGTAGATCCGTTTCTAATAGATAGCCTCTGATTTTCTCGTGATTCTTTTTTGAATTAAAAGTAAAATGTAATGCACTTTCCCAAATTACATCTCACTTAGGTCAAACAGTGTCATGTCATTTCAAAAGCTTATGAGAGAGAAATGGTGAACTCTGAAAAGTATAAAAAAAGGGCAGTCCGGTGCATGAAGGCATCCCTGCAAGGAGAGGGTCCGGGGAAGGTCCCACTACAATGGTGTATATGGGACAAGCCTTTCCTTGTCAAATTTTTTACAAGAGGCCGCTCCCAAGACTTGTACATGTGACTTTTCAGTCACACAACAACACATTAATCGGTGCGCCAAGGCTCCTCTTCGAACTATAAAAAGTATAGATATAGTTTTAAAAAGAAAAAGAAAGTTAGCATCATTTCTGGAAAGAAAAATATTCAAGTACGAAAAAGGAAAATGGGACAAAGGAAGCGACTTTTTAGTTTAGGTAAAATCTCATTAGGCGCTAATGGAAATTATGGCAATATAAAGAGTCTAATCAAGTATGGAAATATTGTAAAGTAGTGATATAAATTAAAAGATGATATGTGTGTGTATGCTCCAATAGTATCGACTCTAGGCAAGTATAACCAGAAACTGGAAGAATAAATTACAAGTAGAAAATGGAAAGAAAGTTTACCTTCAGAAGCTCATCTTGTCCACTACCTGATAACACACGGATTTTTTTCCTCGTCCTCTCATGGAGAAGTGGTCGGACAACCTGATAATAGTTCAAAAGTTAACAAACAAAACTACTTCAATTTGAACTTATCATTGAAAATAATAAAAAGTTTATAAGAGATTTGCTGCAAAAAAAGAGCAATGAAAAGTGTATATAAGAATGTAGAATTCGGGCTAACCTTCCAGCAAGCTGAAAAAACATATGGAGCATTAACAATGTAGTATGTAATTGTTCTCTCTGGATAATTCAGGTCATCAATGGAAGATATAATAGTGCCTAACTGCACAAGATGAAAATAATAAAATAAGACACTCTTCAACAGATTGTAGAGTATTCAACACTAGTAAACCAAATGAGGTTAAAAACTAGATTGTACGATGTTTCATTCCACTCCCTCCATCGAAAAAAGAGTCCAGTTTCAAACATTGATTTTTGAAGGGAAAAAGACAACAAGTTACATATGATAAACCTAGTTAAACCAACAGCAAGAAGATTAAAATTACGTAGGATTCGTGATTTATTGCAGTTCTGCCTTGCAAAAATTTGAACTGTAGTCAAACATGACTCTTTTAAAAAACATGTAGGTAGTAATATCAGATGCTATGAAGTCATCAAGAAGAAAAGGTTAGAGCTGAAGTGTTTTGCATATTTTAATTGGGAAGTTCAAGAAAAAGTCACATGTGTTGGAACATGTTTGATAATGTTACTTGTTTGATGTTTGATGTTTTTTCTATGAAGTATGTAGACATGTTTGACCATTTTCTTTGTACATATGATTTGTATTACTTATTTACTATGATGAAAATATATTATTTTTATATTCATTCTAAATGTTTCATGAATAATGTCAAAATCAAGAACATGTTTAACAAAAAACAATGAAAACATCAAATTCCCACTTCCGGCCACTTTCAACATTCTGTTATTGTTTTTCAGAAACTTAAAACAAAAACACTACAACCAAACAACAACAACAACATCCAAGCCTTAGTCCCAAAAGATATTGGGGTCAGCTAACATGAATCGATACATGATATCACAACCAAAAGGAAAGGAAAGAATAAAGATAAAAAAGATAAGCTATTATAAAAAGAAAATAAAAAGAGATGAATAAACATAAAAATGATAAAATAAAAAGGCTACAAATAATGCTTATATATATAAGGATAAAAAACAAGAAAAAAAAAGATGAGGGAAAAAGATTATACGAGATCACTCATAGTCATCTCATACCTTTATTTGGCTCAAAGCTGAAAGTTTAAGGCCAGTCATATCCAAAACCTTGACGCATTTGCTAATATGGGTCCCGTGCTTCTCTGATGCTAAGGGCTACAGGAGAGACTACAAATGAGAACATGATTGTATGGAAAGAGAAATTAAACAATATTTTATGGGGTGCTTACCAGCACTACACGGTCCCTATACTCGTTCATCTGAATGTGAGATTGCACATAGTAATTATCCTGCTTTCAATTTTCCACAAACAAGGCCTTAAAACAGGATGTACAAGAAAGATGCCAATCTAATAAAACTTGGAACCAAAAAGCAACAAAAAGACTCTGAGAAAAAGAAACTCTGCAGTGGAAATCACATCCAAACAAATACGTAGTATTAAATATAAGTAGAAAAGCTAAAATGAATGAAACCATGAGGACAAGGCACTTACAGTGACTGCCCCCCATTCACTTTGGATATGTTTGGGTCACGGTAAATGCTAGAGAAGAAAGAAAAATATCAAAGTAAATGAAACGTAGTATGTTCTGATATTTGTTGTATCGTGAAAATGGAGGAAACTGAAACATGATTAAACTTTTCTTAAATTTACATTCTCTTAAATAAATACTAGAATTATAAAAATAAATAAATAAATAAATAAATAAATAGATAAATAGATAAATAAATAAATAAATGAATGAATGAATAAATGAATAAATGAATAAATGAATAAATAAATAAATAAATTTCCATCATTTGCAATGGAGCCAAAGATTCATTATTTTTTGGCTTGAGATTATGATGGAATAAAGCAAAATGGCTCACTAAACTGTCTGCGCTTCTTTGTTATGGAGAAGCAGTCAGTCCATGCAGTTTTGAACTCGATTTTCACTATGCGTCATCCGGAAACAGTGTCTCTGTGCTTTAGTACAGGGGTAAGACTGCGTACATCCGACCCCCCTTACCCCACCGTAGGTGGGAGCCTTTGAGGCACTAGGGTAAATGAAAATAAATAAATAAATAAATAAATAAATAAATAAATAAATAAATAAATAAATAAATAAATAAATAAATAAATGAGTTTATAATATGTCTAGAACACATTGGTTGAGTTTAAGCTTTTTTAGCTTTCCCATTAATCTTTCTTTCTTCCAACTTTCTGAATAATACTTCCTTTCCCTAATATTTTCCGAGTTCCAAACATACCATTAGAATTGAAATGCATATGATAAAATGAAAGAAAAGAAAGAAAAAAGATGTGATTGAAGGAAATAAAGAAAAATCATTCATTACTACCAATGTTTTGTCGAATGTGCTAAGACCCACACCAAAAGCAAACACTGGAAGGCCCTATGAATAACAAAAAGCAATTGTTATAAGGATAAGTAATACGGAGTATACTCTAGCTTACTTGAACTATCCAAAAGGATGGTATGCATTAAATATTTACTATTTACCAGAATATGTACCTCTCTTGTGTAACCAGACAGTCCAACTAGATGTGAATCACGTACATCTCGGTAAAGATCAAGAGGAATGATAGGTTTCTGTCATTAATCGTTAGCAGAATAAGAACAAATTGCTATTTTTTTCAGTGACATATGCATCGAACAAAGTTCTATATCATGAGAATCCATTTTTTAAAAAGTTAAACCTTTTATTTTAGTTTTAGCTAAAAGTGGGGAATCAAGTTGGTGTTGTAGCACAGGAATCTAAAGTAATGTCCATAAGGTTCACTCTTAACTGTCACAAAAAACACATACATAATTGTAAAAAAAAAAAATAGCTAACAGGACCATTATTTATTCCAAGGCTCCATTTGGCAGCCATGTTCTGCTTATTCGCAGAGTAAGCGTTTTTTAACTAAAACATGTGTATGTTCCTAAATGATTTCCTTTTAAAATAGTTCGGCAGATAATTCAACCATTTCGGCTTAATTGAACTTACCAAAGGGACCCTAAAAGTGTAGAGAAGATTCATAGAAATGTATAAAAAGATTAAGAAAAAAGAAGATGTTGCAACCATACATCCAATTAACTAAGCATAACCAAATTGCTAATATTGCACTTTGAATTTCTAGTCACCTAGAACAGCCAATTGGATATAAGCTGTTCCCATTGATGATAATAATGGTAGATAATTATCATAGTACTGAAGTTACTATTTCATCCAGCTAAGCATAACTGATAATAAAAATACTAACCGCTAAAATATCATCAATCTCATTTTGGAGCCTCCACTTTAGGCTACCCATCAACTGTGACAGCACAAAATATTGTTTCAGAACTTGATGACAATAGTAAATGGATGAATTCAGAGGATCACTTTTAAGAAGAGAATGAGTTAGTTCTGACCATCTGGTGAGCCTTAGAAACATTTCCTTCTCTTGCAGATAGATAGCGCACAAGAGTTTCTTGTGGATGTCCTTGATGAATATTCTACAAGTGTAAAGTACACATAAAAGTAAATAAATTCGAAGTTTTCAATGGAATGGATGCAAAAAATACTACCTCTGTCATCCTAGCATTGGTACAAGAGGAAATGGTGCAGTTATCAAGAAAAGTGAGTGAGTTTATGTGGTTGATATTAAGTTGATAAAGTGAGAATGAAGTCAGAATGATTTAGAACCACATAAATATTATCAAATTTGGTATGGGATAATCTTAGTGGAATGGACAAAAAAATGAAAGATGGGACAATCTTAGCGGGAAGAAAAGGTAGCTTATTATTTAATGAAAACCAAGCAACCATTTGTTTATTACTCCCTCCGCCGCTGAAAAAACATTCATATTTTCCTTTATTTCCCTTCCCAAAAGAAATTATTTTTACCTCAACTAAAAGTCTTACTTTGCTACCCTAATTAACTTTGATGAACGAATGGCCCTAATCTACACAAAGAATTGCATAAGTTAACTCTATATCCACTCTGTGCCCTCAAAAAGAAAAGGAAAATTGTTCAAAAGCTGTTTAGTCCAAACAAAAAAGTCACAATTCATAAAAAAGGCTAACTTTTCATGTAATTTGCCAAATTTAGCTGAACAACAAATAAAATCTACAAACATAAGTGCTATTTCATGAATTTTAGCCTTTGTAACTTGCAAGAAATAAAAAGTGTGCATGGCCATACATTATTCTTTCTTTAAATATTTTTGGGCTGAGGGAGCACTTGCAAAATTGTCAAATATTAGTAATATGGGGGATTTCTGTGTTTAAGGGGACCAACTTGAGATTTAGCTAGCACCATAAAAAACTTATGTACTGGGTGGCCTTAGAGATTAAACTAATACGAGTAATAGATGATACTACGTATATAAAAAAGTAAAAGAAAAAAACTACTTCGTACATGTCTTGATGAGTATTTTCTATTTATATTTCGTTCTTGAGAACTTAATTTGTACAATTACATCTTTCTACCAGCATTTTTTTATGAATCAAAACTCCCAAGTTCCTAGATGGAAATCCTATAGTATTGAGAATAACAGATCAGGATATAAGGTGAAAGGACTGAGCAAAAAACCTGGAAAGTCTTCTTGAGTGATTCATCCACTGCACAAAGTTTGCAAACAAAGAAGAAGACTTGTCATATTATAGTGGGTGATTTGTGACAGAAAAATTGGGAGGAAAAGACAGAGAAATAAGATGTCTCACATTGTTCCATTAATGCTCCAAATTCATTGATTGATTCTTGAGAAACCACACCCATTTCTTCCGTTTCTTCCTCTTCTTCAAAAACTTGTAAACCGCAATAATTGAATTGTGAAAGATTGAAAAAATACAACAGACCAAACTAATACGGAGTAGTACAGAAAACACACTACTTTCGTCTGAACTTTAGCTTTAAAAATGACTGTGTTGAGTTTAACAAAAACAAGGGGGCAGATATTTCAACGAAAGACAAATAAAGATTCCACTTTTACTGTCAGATAATAGACTAGTGAGGCGCATGGAGGGTCAAAATTCAAGAAAGGACGGCTAGGCCCCGCGCGCCAAAAGGCCCCACCCTGAATTCCCCGCAGGGAAAGATACCCTTTATCAAAAGCAATGGAATGAACGAAAGGGAAGAGTTGGAAAACGAGGTTTCCACCTCTTTTACAACTTGACCGATCGCCATATATGATGATGCAATGCAAATGGACCAAATAGTTGGTAGATTCATGCTATGCCTGTGCGTAAGCTCTAAGCCGACACGATTTTCCTATTGTCCGGCCGAATCGATAACGTATGTCGGAAAATGGTTTTATTTTACTCCCTCCCTATTTAAAACACCCCTAGTTCCCTACCTTAGATCTTAGTACAATATTTAAAAAGGAAATAATAGAGGTAATAAATAGTGTAGAGAAAGTATGAGATATAGTAAAAGAGTAGGAAAAAGAAGATAAAAAGTTGAATAAGTAAGGGTAATTGTGAATTATAAAAAAAAATACCAACAAACAAAAAGTGTAGCAAACTTTTAAATACATCTTAAATATGAAATTGTAGTAAAATTTTAAATATGAAGAGAGTAATGTAATAACCACCTTTGAGCTAAAATAAATAAAGAATCCACAACTAGTTTATGGTAAGACCAAGTCCTAACGTATACTTCTCTGAAAGTTGAACACAACCATATATTAAAATGTGAAAACTGAAAACCATTTACATGGCTCACATGTAAGTCTCGCCTCGTGTATAGTCCTCTGAAAGTTGAACACAACCAAGTACATTAAAAGTTTGGTTATGTATGGAACACAACCATAAGATCTCCATGTGAAAACCATTTACATTCCCACAAAATGTTTGAGAAGAATGAAGTCTTAAGGTACGAGGCTCGCCTCGTGGTGTAAGCTTTCTCACAACGCTTTGGGATTGACTACAAGGAGACATACTCTCCCGTAATGGACGTTATAACGTTCTGATACTTTGTCAGTTTAGCCGTTTCTGAAGGACTGGAAATGCAATTAATGGATGTAGTTACTGCATGTCTCTATGGGGATCTTGATTCAGAGATATACATGAAAGTGTTGGAATGACTTTCATTAACCAAATCAAGTGACTCTAAACCACAGAGTGCGTTTGCAATAAAATTGAAGCGCTCACTTTACGGATTAAAACAATCTGACCGGGTGTGGTATACCCGCCTAAGTGACTACTTGATTGGGAAGGGATATAAGAACGATGAACTATGCCCCCGCGTATTCATTAAGAAAACAAGTTCCGGATTCGCAATTGTGGTTGTATATGTTGATGATGTGAACATAATTGGTACTTTTGATGAAATATGAGAAATCGTCAGCCATTTGTAATCCGAATTTGAGATGAAGGACCTTGGGAAAACTCGATTGTGTCTAGACCTTGAGCTAGAACAACGCGTTTGTGGAGTACTAATCCACCACTCTACGTATATCCAAAAGATGCTCAGGCGATTTAATATGGATAAAGCGCACCCTGCTGACACTCCCATGGTTGGTCGAAGCTTATATTCTAAAAAGGATCTGTTTCGTTCAAAAAGGATTAATTGGGACGGTCCAAAAAGGAAAGTTGGAAGAAATGACTGGGACGGAGGGAATATTTTTTAATCAGTATATAGGTATAGAAATCAAGCCCAATCTCAAAAATAAAATAAAAACTTAATATAACCAATAGAGCTATCTTGTAAGTAATGTGTCTGTCCGTCCGAATTCCAAGCAGCGAAGCCCAAACATAAACATGGCCCAAGTTTCCAAATCAACAAGGAGCCAATTAGTTGAGGACGCATCGCTAATCGCTGCGATTTACCCCTAGTCATTCAACTTCTTCACGACTTCGCAACATCGCTAGTTTGTGTAACGTGGACGGTGGTCCGTTCGGCTGCCGCTCATTGGCTTCGTCTCCGGTCGGCGGTCAGCACACAGCCGCAAGTTTTTGTTCCAGAGCTCGACTGACGACTACTCCATGCCTCCAGACTCCAGTGCTCTCCAGCCGCCAACCACTTTTGCTCTTCGTCGCCCGACCGCCTCGTCGGACGCCGTTAAGTTTGTTTTGTGTTCTTCTAAGTTTGCTAATTGCTACTTTCTACATCACTAAGTGTTTTAGTCGTAATGTGTATTTGGGTGAACTATATTCAATTTGAGTCATTTGAAATTTGAGTGAACCACTTACTAATTTTAACATTTAGTATGAATTTAATATGAATGTGATTTGTGATTCCTTAGTTGTAATTCGTCATTTGCAAGCCTCATTTATATTAGTATGAAGTTAATTCTGATTGGTTTGTATTAATATAAATATAATTATTTAGTTACTTAGTATTAGTTGAATTACCAATAGATCCATTTTTCAATAAAGGTAATAATACTTGAAAAATGACTTATAAATTGACAATGATGTCATTATAAAATGATATAAGTCGATAAAAGCTCCTAGAGAACAATTGTAAAATTGTGATGTTTTTTGTATTTGATTTTGACGAAAACACATAATCCTAAAATATTTACTTTTGTTAGTGATTTTTTTAATGTTATTTTATACTTGAAAATAAATTTTGTGAAATAGACATTATTATATTACATTTTGATTTTTTTATGCAATATGTGTTAGTTAATTAAATTTAGGCCTCACTTGGTTATCAAAGCTAGATCCGCCCCTGACCGGTGCTGAGAAGATCCCAGGTACAGTTTCGGACCCTAGTATCATGTTTATTGATTTTTTACTGAATATGTGTGAAAGGATGAGTAACCCGTGTGTATTATATGTGTTATCGAGGCTTCAATGGCTAGGATTTCAGGGTGTAGCGAGTTCCGAGCTTGAATAGGATACAATCACTTACATAATAATTTAAAGTAAAATTAATGGATCCACTACATGCATTTAACTAAAAAAAATTAACTTCATTTCGAAAAAACTAAAATTAAGTATTTCAATTTGAAATGTCAATCGACTTGGAGGATTTTTTTAATCTATTTAAGAACTTCTATTTTGAATAGTATTTGTTGTTATATATCCTAATATATGGAATGTTTTTCAATTTTTTGTGAAAAATGCACACAGAAACAACAACCCAAATTGAAGGTTTTGTTGCATTCGTGGAAGTTTAACTTTTTTAATAAATAGACTTATTGATTTTTTAAGCTCTGTCTAGCTAAATTTCTACGGATAACAATGGAAACAAAGAACTAAATCTTGGATGATTGCAGGTTTAATTTGTTTTTCTGACCAGGCATCCTAATTCACAAATTTTTGTACCCACCGGTGGTCACTAAGCTACTATGGCTGAAGAAGCACCTCAATAGTAAGCATTTTTATAAATATAGGGTTTTAAGGGAAAAGGGGCAGATAAGGCCACGTACTAACAAAAAAAAGTCAAATAAGGCCTTATTTATGAGACTCTTTCCGGCCTTCGCTATTTGGGTTGTTTTTCGGTGGAATTTTTTGATAAAATTTTTTGAGCATATTATTCAGTAAGTCTAGTTTACTCATACCAAATTTAAGCTAAAACTTCAATCGAGAAGTCATTCAAATGAATTCTTGAAGATAATTGCGCAGTTAAAAGCGCAATCATCTTCAAGAATTCATTTGAATGCTTTCTCGATTAAATTTTTATCTGAAATTTGGTATGAGTAAACTAGACTTAATGAATAAGATGGTCAAAAAAATTAATCAAAAAATTCTACCGAGAACCACCCCAAATGGGGAAAGCCGGACATAGCCTCATAAATAAGACCTTATTTGACCTTTTTTGGTTAGTACGTGGCCTTATTTGTCCCTTTTCCCATAAATATATGTGTGATGACTCACATGTAATGGATGCCAGAGATCCTGAAATTTATATCATTTCTTACATTGGTGCGTTGGTAGTTGACGACATATGTATATGTTGTTAAATTAGGTGGTTGCAATTTTTAGGAAGAAATGTGGGCAAATGAGAACTATTGACACACAACATTGAAGTAATTTATGTCAGAAGTATCCTCATGACTCATGAGTATTTAAATTAGCAGTAAGTGTTCTAATATCAATTTTGAAATGATATATTGTGTTATTTTCTAAGAATTACTTGCTTTTAAATTTAGAATATTTTACGTAGTAAAATTTTTTGTGTCGCAGACTCAACTGTTGGGTCTATCCACCACAAAGCCCCCATATTCAATCTCTCCCTCCACTCAAGTCTCAATAGCTTATACTTCTACATTATAAAACAATTACAAAAAGCCAGTAATGACCATAACAGTCCGTGTAAACAACCATACGAGTTTTTTTTGTTGTTTTAAAGCACTAAACATCTAATGATATCTTTTTTGAACATCACACAAGTAGTTTAATTGAAGAATCAATCCAGTAGTTGCTTATTGGGAGAACAAAATGACCAATACAAAGCAGGTTACTGGTAATCATTTAATTTTAAAACTTAACTGGTTTAAAGGGTGACTATAATAGCTTCCAGATTCTCCTGTATATGCCTGTAATATTGAGAGAATAGTGGCAGCATCCAGTTATGCTTTGAACAAATGAACAATTACGGGTTGCTTGGAACCTTTATATTTTATCACATCTATTTAAAACCTTTATATATTATCACATCCATGTTAAATCTTGAAGTATATAAGGATACACACATTGTAGTGAATCTGTGAATCCTACAAAATTCATTGTAATTAACATATTTTTATCCATTATCATTTTTGTAGATATAGGTGGAACGAAAATATGAAATAAAATAGTTGTTGCAGATGTTGTGTAGCACATAACATCACGCAGGAACAAAAATCTATTACAAGGATACAAACAATGAGCAAGAGTCACATAAATACTTTTGAACCACTAATATCATCATAATCATAATAGTACAAAAAGATCTAGCCATTCCGGTAACTAATACACAAGTCGATAAAAGAAGCTAAGATATGAACTTAAAATGCTGAAATTAAAAACAAATAGTCTTCACATGTTAGCCATCCGAAATTAATGTCGACAATAAAATCATTTGCAAATTATTTTTGTTCAATCGTTTTTTCACGGAAAGAACGCATGTCTCTGTCTTTTTTTATATAGGGAAAACACATGTCTATGTCTATCCTTGGGACATCTTTAACTTCAACCTATTGATTTTTGTGTTCTAGAAACTGCAGCGCGCATGAGTTATTCTGTGTTGCAGCACATGAGAAACTTCAACCTGTGGTGAAAACTTAAAAGCTACACTATGCTGATCATATATAGAGAGCTTGAGTGAAGAATTTGCTTGCATGAGCTTGGGCGAGTGAACCATCTGCTTGTAATCAGTATTTATAGCCAAATTTTAAACATCAACCCTTCCTGAGTAATCTTCTCGAGTAATAAGATTGATTTTGACGTGTAGGTTGAGCATAGGTGTGTAATCAATTGACGTGATTATTTGAGGATATGGAGTGTCGCATGGGGAGAGAGTACCAATGAAATTGCAATTCGGAAAAGCTCACACACACAATTAAATGCGACTACTGTGGATACACTGTGCTGCAACTCACTTGTCTTCGAAGTGTCCAAACTACTCACTGTACACCGCCCAATTCCACCAATTCCACCAATGGGATTAAATCAATCTAAACAGTAACTCAATCACAATATATTAATATTCAATAATGCTTGGCAAAATCTACACTCATAAATTGTGGATGTATCTTTATGCCAATGCTAGGTTGACACCCTTACTTGGGATTATTCTTTTTTTTCTTTATTTATTTATCTTTTTCACTATTTGCCTTGATGTTGACATTTTTTAGCGGGAGTCCTATTCATAAAATTCTTTTGCTTTTATATATTACTTGCTCCGGTCCTTAATTAACTTTACACTTTTCTTTTTGGGTCGTCTCATATTAAACTTTACACTTCCTTATTTATCATATTTGGCAAACAAATCTACACCAAACAGTACAAAACAGTGTCAAACAGTACCATCGTACCAAATAGTGCTCTAATAAGGACCGGAGGGAGTAATAGATTTCTCAAAATTTCTCAAAAAAAAGGGAGTACCGTTTTTTTTTTTGTTTTTTTAGGGAGTACCTTTTTATTGATTTCTGCCCGCTCTAGCCTCCCCATGCTGTCCCCCGTTTCCCTCCCCTTTCAAGTTCCAACAACAAAATGTTGTTTCTTTCTAATGGAGCCATGAAAACTTATGCCACTGCTTCGGGGTATAAAATATCTAAATCTCTCTCTCATTTTTTAGATGTTTCTCATATTCTCTATAGAGCAATGTTAAGCCTTTCCCTTCACAGTTTCCATTAAAATTTGGGTTTCTTCCACTTCCTTTGCATTACTTACTCACCATTCACCAATCCAGACATCCGGTTTACTCTGCATTGTTAATTGCGATCCTTCCATCGGTTTAATCTCATCATATTAGCAATTTGCAATTTTTCTTTATCAAAATTTGGGATCTTTCCGGTGTACAATCCTTTATTTCTCCGCAAGAAATTTTGTAACTTTTAATAAATGATTGATCTTCGGTTGAACTTTGAAATGTCACAATAACGTTTTATTGAGGGCAGAGGGGGAGGAAAATGAAGCTTCTAGTGCGAGTGATTGAAGCGCGGAACATGCCGGGAAATGACCAAAATGGGCCCAGTGATGCCTACGTGAAAGTGCAGATGGGGAAGCAGAAGTTCCGGACTAAGGTGGTGAAGAAATGTTTGATCCCATCATGGTGTGAGGAATTCGGCTTTAGGGTTGAAGAGTACAAGGAGGAAGAGCTGGTGGTTTCTGTTCTTGGCGAAGATAAGTACTTCAATGACGATTTTGTGGGCCAGGTTAAGATCAACATTTCCCAGGTTCTTGAAGCTGATGGGAAGTCCCTTGGAACTGCTTGGTACACTTTGCATCCCAAGAATAAAAAAGCTAAGAATAGGGACTGTGGTATATAAGCTTCTTCTTCTTGTTCCTTGTAATAAAGGGTGATTAATTTAGAATCATTCCAAGTCCCTAATGAAGTATATATGCATCTACCAAGCTAAAAGTGGCATAAAATCTATGATCTTTATCATTAATCTAATTTGTTTTTCCAGGCCAAATTCTTCTCACGGTTTGTTTCTCTCAAAATAATTTGTTCGCCCCAGACATGCAGGCCGGAGGTGACCTTTTTCCCCTGCCATCAAAGAAGCATAGTACGGATGTTGCAGGAAATGAATGTGTTTCAAGGTCTTCCTTTGGCTCATTCAATTTCCCGTCCCCAACGAGGTTAGAAGAAGCCAGCTCATTCAAAGAAGAAAACCCGAATTCGCAGACCTTAGTTGGCCGGCTTTATCAAATGTTCAACAAGAACAACGATGAACTAGCTGCAACTTCTGCAAAATGTCCAGATGTTTCTGAAAACCTCTGTACATTGGATAATAAGGAGGAGGGTTCACAAGAGGAGCAGTCTTCATCATCATCACTCAGCTTTGAAGAAATGATGAGAAGCATGGAGATGAGGGAACAAGAGAGTGAAATTCCGAGTAAGTTGCCAGGAGTAGCCGTAGACCGAGTTTTTGCAATCGCACCACGTGAGCTCAACTTAATCCTCTTCTCTCCCGACTCAACCTTCCTCAAATCGTTAATAGACACCCAAGGATCCACAGAGTTGTGTGTAGGTCCTTGGAAGTTCCACAATGGTGGTCAGAGTTTAAAAAGAGTACTCTCTTTCATTAAGGCGGCGAGTAAATTGGTCAAAGCTTTGAAAACTACTGAGGAGCAGACTTATCTGAAAGCTGACGGGAAGACATATGCAGTATCTTGCACAGTTACCACTCCGGACGCGCCGTACGGGAACACGTTTAGGACAGAACTGCTCTACTGCATAACCTCAGGCCCGGATCTGCCTACTGGAGAAGAATCTTCGAGGTTGATGGTTTCATGGCGGATGAACTTCTTACAAAGCACTATGATGAAAGGTTTGATTGAAAACGGAGCACGACAAGGGGTGAAGGAGAATTTCGAGCAATTCTCAAGCTTATTGTCTCAGAGTGTCAAACCTGTTGATGAGGGGGAGAAGCAGGTGGAATTAGGATCTCTTCAGCTGGAACCACAATCGGACACGAAACTGGCCTTTCAGTATTTTGCTAATTTCACTTTGGTTTCTACGTTTGTCATGGGATTGTATGTAATTTTCCACATCTTGATTGCCAGCCCTAGCACAATACAGGGATTAGAGTTTATTGGGCTTGATTTGCCGGATTCTATTGGGGAGTTGATTGTTTCTGGAGTGTTAGTATTGCAGGGTACTCGTGCACTGAAGCTGGTTTCAGGATTTATGCAGGCAAGAGTACAAAGAGGTACTAATGAATAGCTTAATTGCCTAATTTAGTTTAAATGACATATCTAAAGTATGATGTTTCACTTGGAATGTGATAGCCAAAGGTGGTGACCACGGAGTCAAAGCACAGGGAGATGGTTGGCTATTGACTGTTGCATTGCTTGAAGGGAGTGATCTGGTGGCAGTTGACTCGGGCGATTGTTCTAATCCATATGTGGTTTTTACTTGCAATGGTAAAACTAGGGCGAGCTCAATCAAGTTCCGAAGTTCATATCCTAAGTGGAATGGTAAATATTCGATGATGGTCTAGTTAAATAACATGAACCTATAAAACTTGCACTTTACAATTCAAGAATGTACATGAATTGTGTATTCACTTTTACTGATGCCATACTACTTGCATCCCTAACAGAGTCTTGTTTCACCACCATACAACTTTTAATCTAGTAAGGTAGAACTATTGGAAAACATCATTTATGGCTATATTTATAAACTCATTAAAATAAAATATTTAACCTGTCTAGATTATTTTTTTTAAAAAATACATTAAAAAATGCGGAAATTAGATTCTTTTGCTCTGTTATAACTCCTATTTGGGACAAAATAAGTTGCTTGTTACAACTTCCACCGCGGTTTTGCGCAGAAATATTTGAGTTTGATGCAATGGAGGAGCCGCCATCTTTGCTGAATGTTGAAGTTTTTGATTTTGATGGACCTTCCCATGAAGCTACATCTATTGGACATGCTGAAATCAATTTTGTTAAAACAAAAATATCAGATCTGTCTGATATTTGGGTTACCCTTCAAGGCCAGTTTGCTCTAGCCTGCCAGTCTAAGTTGCATTTGAGAATTGTCTTGAATAATACAAAGGGTAGCAATGTCGTCAAAGATTATTTGTCTAAGATGGAGAAAGAAGTGGGAAAGAAGGTGTCCAGTTTTGTTAACCTTCGAAAATCGTTGCTGTATTTATTTTATGATTTTATCTCTTTTATGCTTGTTTATTAATTTCAGATTAAATATATGGAGAAAATAATTAAAATACCCTAAACTTCGAAGTGGTGTGAGATAAACACCCCAAACTTTCATATGTAATTTAAATGCCCCAAACTTTATATAAAAGGTTATTTTAACACCATGATCATGTATTATTTCTTTGAGATATTACCTGAAATAGGACTAAAACAGTTTGGAAATTCCAAAATAGGACTACCATGTTTTATTCCCAAAATAGGACTAATTACTGCCATGTTTTGGCAGTACCAGACTTCAAACATGGCAGTATTTTCTAAACATGGCATTAATTAGTTCTATTTTGAGAATAAAAAACATGACAGTCCTATTTTGGAATTTTGAAACTGTTTTAGTTCTATTTCGGGAACTTTCCCTATTTCTTTCACAAATGTAAATTTATGGTGTTAATTGCATAGTTTAAAACAACAAATTGAAAACGTTACAATTAGATAGAGTGGGGGGTACTACTCTTTATTTTACAATAGAAGTTTAGAATGTTAATTGTATCTTCATGAATGCTAAAATATTTTAATTTATGAAATGAACACAAAAAATTAACATTTTTTAAATAAATAATACATGACCATGGTGCTAAAATAACTTTTTATATAAAGTTTGGGGTATTCAAATTACATCTGCAAGTTTGGGGTGCTTACCTCACACCCCTTCAAAGTTTGGGGTATTTTAATTATTTTTCCCTATATATATTGCAGATAAAATTAAGGTCTCCACAAACAAATTCAGCATTCCAAAAGATTTTTCATCTTCCACCAGAGGAGTTCCTTATCAACGACTTCTCTTGTCAGTTGAAGCGTAAAATGCCCCTTCAGGTAGTTAATATTATAACTGTTGTTTTTGGGGTATGTTTGGTAGAGCAGTAATATGAAGTAGTTAAATACTGTGATTGGGAAGAGTTGTTTTCAAAGAAAATGTTTTCTCGGATGAAGAAGTGCACTTTTACTTTAAAAGGAAGCCTTTTGCAAGTAAATAGTAAAATTGTTTTTAAGTTGAGGAAACACTTTTTGAAGATATTTAAGAACTCACCAGATTAAATCTTTTTGAAATTTTTAAAAAAATGCTTTTAGTACTTAAATGACAAATGACTTATAGAATAAGTAATCCAAAACAAGCTCTAAAGCAGCGGTAGTAGGATTGGATTGGTTGAACTGGTTTAATTGCCTCTCTCCCATTAAACACACACCTGTTTGGTTGACAATTTTGCAATTTATCCGATGGCCATTTGGAGAGTGGTTGAAGATTTTGCTTGTTCTCCTATACACACCCTTAGTGTTTTTTCCCATATAATACATTTGTTTGAACATGCTTCTAGTTTTCTATGGATCTATGTCATCACACCTTCAATTGGTTGACAATGAAAGAGAATAATCACTGTCTATGAAATTGCATTTATTTGGTGCAGGGTCGTCTCTTTCTCTCTGCAAGAATAATTGGATTTCATGCAGATCTGTTTGGACATAAGACAAAATTTTTCTTTCATTGGGAAGATATCGAAGACATTCAAGTCATTCCAAAGACTTTGGCATCAATTGGCAGCCCTATTGTTATCATGACTCTAAAGTCAGGCAAAGGTTTTGATGCCAAACATGGTGCAAAGACTCAAGATGCAGAGGGCAGGCTTAAGTTCCATTTTCAGTCCTTCGTATCCTTCAGTATGGCTCTTAGGTACTTCTACAGCAAAACTACTTATCCTTCTCTCTTTCTGGGAACTGTATCAATTATTTTTTATATGCCCATTGGGTTATGTATCCATCACTTATTGTTTAGTTAAAAAATATAAGCTTTCTTAGTCTTTACATAATAGACAAATAAATAGAACGAGTATCCACATACACTTAAATGTTAAAATTAGTTTATTGTGTGTCAATATCTTTAGTTGTCCCAAATTTCCATTCCTTCATATTTTCCTCTGGTTTCTTTTCTATTATATTTCCCTAGTATTTCCCGGGATACAAACTGACCCTTACTGAACATTGTGTTTTAAAAACTATATACTAGTATAGAGCATACCCCTGCACCCCCCTTGGGATTCATGCTTTATCTAATTCACTCATATAGAGCATTTAGAAAGTTATATAACAAACCTGCTTGCTAGGAAAGTTGATATTGTTTAAAATCATGTTTGAACGCGTATTAATATGCTTTTGGAAGACTGGTACTATATTGTTGAGCATACAACAATATGGGTGTTGTTATCATTGTCATTGCATGATGTGAGAGTTGCTTTATTGATGTTTTTTAAAAATGAATGTTCACAGACTGATCATGGCACTGTGGAAGGCAAGAGCTTTGAGCCCAGAGGAAAAGGCACGAATCGTTGAAGAAGAATCCAAGGCTAAGAACCTCCAGATGAGTGATGAGGACTCAATGGACAAAAACTTACACGTGGATGATGAGACTGAAGGGAAAAACATACAAAGTGAAGAGACTGATTTATCCACGGGAGATGATGATCTCACTATGTCTATTGCTTATTCCTCTGTTCTTTCTATTCCTGTAAGTGTCTAATTATACCATTCTTTTGGATGTGAGAACTACGCGCGTATTTCAACTATTTTTATATCGTTACTCAAGGGTCAGTTAGTTTGGGATGGGCTATACCCTCTTAATAGGCAATTCTGTGTATTAAGGCAAGTGGAGAGCTCGTCTTTGAATATCACTAAAAGCCCGCTTCTGTAGTAAAACTATTGAGATTTGGAGTTCCATTAGTCAAACTTTGAGTTTCATTTTTATTTTCGTCCGCGATAAGATCGCTTAACATGTTTGTAACCGAAACCCACTCACTTATATGTGGAATGGCATTCTAGAACCCATACTGTGAACGTAAGTTCTTTATGTAACTATCATTTATACAATGTTCAGACAGATTTTTTCATGGAGTTGTTTAGTGGGAATGAACTGGACAGAAGAGTAATGGAGAGAGCGGGGTGTCTAAACTATTCCTGCAGCCCATGGGAGTCAGAGAAGACAGATGTTTACCAAAGACAACTTTATTACAAAATTGATAAATGGATATCGCGCTACAAAGCAGAGGTCACAAGCACACAACAGAAATCCCGCCTTCCTGATAAAAATGGTTGGCTCATCGAAGAGGTCTTGACATTTCATGGGGTCCCATTGGGTGACTATTTTAATGTACGTATTCTGTCCCCCTTAATTTCTGCATCGCTTTCATGTTAACGCTTAATAGCAATGGTGTAAAATCAATCGGGGTCACATTCTTAGGGTATAGCAACTAGGTGTGAATCAATCGTGGTTTGACGAAACATGAGAGGAATCATGTGGGGACTAAGTGGGAACCAGATGTAGCTGAACAAGAGAAGTCTTATACCTAGTGGATATTAATCATGACTAGTCGGGATTTCTTGAGTAACGACTAGCATAACTATAGTCTTTTTAGCATGCGCATCATGGGAATACCAAATAGCATTTTCTTTTTCTCTCTTAGAGCTTGTTCTGCTGAAATGATAGAATCTGCCGAGCTTGTTGTAATTGTGGTGAAAACAGTCTTGTTTGATCAAACTAAACTGTTTTTCATGTAATCTGATATTCTGATGAAAAACAGTTGCATGAAAGGTAGATAATATAAATTTAGTCAAAATATGAGTAGGAATGGTTAATGATTTATAGCAGTTGCACCTGTTCAAAATTTCAATGAGTTGTAGTAGTGTTGCACATTTGTCAAACAACAACAACATCCAAGCGTTAGTCCCAAAAGATTTTGGGGCCGGCTAACATGAATCGATACATAATATCTTAACCAAAAGAAAAGAAAGATAAGAAAGATAAAAAGATAAGATATGATAAAAAGAGATGGATATACATAAAATGATAGAATAGAAAGGATAAAAAGAATATATGTATATATATATATATATATATATATAAAGATAATATTTGCACATTGGTCAAACATGACTCTTTTTTGGAATGTAGTATTTTTTTAATTATTGAAATGAAATAGAATCTAAAGGACACAAGTGTCATTTATTATTATTATTATTATTATTATTATTATTATTATTCCATCCAAACAGTAACTTTTGCCCCTTTTACTCAAATAATACATCCAGTTAAGTTAATGTTTTGTGAAGTTGATACGAAAAAAATATGCTTCCAGTTGGAGTCTTAAGTACTCACCTCATCCCCTTGTTGTTGGGTTGCAGCTTCATCACAGGTATCAAGTTGAGGATGTCTCATCAGGAACAACAGGGTGCAATGTGCAGGTATACTTTAGGGTGCAATGGTCAAAATACATTAAACATCAGAAAAGAATCACCAAGAACATCACTTCCAATCTTCAAGAGCGGTTGTTGATAATGTTTAGTGCACTTGAGAAGGAATATCTCTCGGAACAATAATTGGGCACAATGAAACCACTATTCATCCACGACTACAACAGCAGCCAGTGGGGTTTTTTATCAACTGAATCATACCGCTTGTGAAGTGCCTTAAGTAAGTACGTCCTCGTCCAGGGAAAATTAGCTATTCTTTTCATACTAAATTAAGCGCTACTCTCTCTACTTTAATACAAGTGATGCTTTGGAGGACTGCACACATATTCAGAAACCAAACAAATACCAATATTATACACTTATTAACAAGTAAGGTACACCCCCAGACCCCAGTATTATACTTCCGATATGGCCATTTAGTTATTGGCAGTTTATTGGACCAATAAACTTTACCTGAGTTTTTTCTAAATGACTATGTTCTTTTTGTACACTGACAAGATAGTTGCATACTCTTAACTCTTATTTATAGGCTTATAGCACAGTGTGTGTGTTATAAAGAAGCCTGGTTTTACCTACGATAGCAGACTCACAGTGAAACTTGAGACCTGATTGATAGATAGCATTCTTGTGTGCATGTTGATCTTTGTTTTTCATGTTGTCTAATAGGAGTTATACAGAGTGATTATTTTACCTTGTAATAGTATCAGTTACACTAATGATAGTGTATCAACCAGAAAGACACCACAGATGATCTGAAACTCATTGTTGTATATTTAATAGCTAATATAACTATGCTTGACAAACAGCTGCACTGTAAATTACGTTTTTTATAGCCTTGTGTTACTATATATGTTAAAATCATTTTTTAACCAAATGATTCCTATTAAGTTCCATAACTTTTAGTTGAACCTATTGAGGTTGTCAAGTGCTAGTAATTTAAGTCCATTGGACAGGGTTGGCTTTCAGAAGCAGGCATTCAGGACGGAGTGCCTCTATTCTTTCCCGACTGTGCATCTCAGATGGGCGGTCCTCTATTGATGGGATGGAAGTGTGAGTTGGAAAAAAATCGATCTCATGGGATCCAAATGTAGGATGGAATAAACATCATGGCTGCCTATTGGGAGATTGGAAGAAGCCAATTGATCCACCATTTTTTTGCATCTCAGCCTAACCTTTTGTTAACACATGCATCACCAGTCGTTTGGCAGCAATCGATACAAATGGCCCTTAGAGTTTATTTTCTGGAGAACTACATAGGCATAGCACACTCTACGACTTAAGTTTTAAATATAAAAGCATTTCCTTCAACACTTTTTATGCAAACAAGAATAATAATAGCCTTCTGATAGCACCAATTGAGGAAAGTAATGTAGACTTTATTCAACCACTGGATTATTTAGTCTAAGAATTTGTTCTGGTCATAAGAAAAAATCAGGTCAGGTAGTTCTAACAGGAACCTTCGCCAGAACTAGTTCGTTTGAGGTGCTTTAAGGTGGTTTTTTTTTTAAATTTGTGATAATGTTTTTCATTAAGGTTAGATCATGTCCACAAAATTTTAGCCTAAAATGCAATCGAAAAGTCAGTTAAATAAATTATTGAAAAACATTGCATTTTATATACATTTTGGCGCAATATTTTTCAATAATTTATTTAACCATATTCCCGGTTGAATTTTAAGCTAAAGTTTTATGGATATAATCCATACTTCATGTATAACATGCTCACAAAATTTCATCAAAAATTTCTGCTCAGAAGCACCTCAAATAGACGAGTTCGAACAGTGATTCGCGTTAGAACTACCTGACAGAATCATTGCTCTCTTATCTTATGCATATAATGTTGTGATTGCTAGAGGAATAACAATATTTTTAAATGGAGTGAAATTTTCTGGTTTGATTTAGTTTGAAATAAAGTAGACTTCATATCAAAATAAAGTATACATTATTTTCCTCTTAAAAGTGCAGTTTTGTAGCACATCGTAGTAGGGTTGGACTCGGGTCCGGGCCGGGTCCGGGTCGGGCCTAGGCCCGGGCGGGCCGGCGGTTCAAGAATGGTGGACCCGGGACCGGCCCGGGTACCCACCGGGTCCGGTCCGGGTCCGGGCCGGGCCGGGCCTCCGGTTTTTTTTTTTTTTGCTTTCCTAACCCCCCCCACCCCCACCCTCCCAAACACCCCCAAACCCATCCTACCCATCAAACCCAACCCGGGTGGAACCCCAAAAATGAAAAAAAAATAAAAAAATTCAATTTGGCCCGGCCCCGGGCCCGACCCGGCCGGGCCGGTTCACCAAAATTGAGACCCGAGCCCGGACCCGCCCTACCCCCCGGGCCTAGGCCCGACTCGGACCCGGACCCGAGAACCGGGCCGGTCTCGGTCCCGCACAGTAGCGGGCCGGGCCGGTCCACGGGCCAGGTGGCCCGACCCGAGTCCAAGCCTACATCGTAGTATACCATTTAGGTATTAGACTCTTTGAATATATTGTATATAATTGTTGGAGTATAACTCCAACGGTAAGAACTAATTACGGAATAAGTATTTTGACAACATAAGACATTATCATTGTTCCAGAGGCGAATTCCCTTTAGAGTAATTACAAGAAGTATTTGGAGACACAATATTACAGTAGCACTAGAAGTCATAACCAGTACATATAATAACTCCAATCATGAGACGACTCATTCAACGTATTTTACATAACAAGTTTATTTCAATAAAATGTTAAACTATCCGCACTTTTTATTTACCATTTATTTGATTTGATGTAAAGTAGGGGTGTAATTAGGAACTCAAAATAAAATTTAATCTTGTATAAGTATGTGTAAGTGAAAAGAAAAGTTGTACATAGGATATATGTGATTACCCATAAAAATGTATAGAAGTTGATCTTCACAGCTTTCATTCAAATAAATGTTTAAATTGTTTTTAATTGGACTGTTTATTCACTCAAGACCAAATCATACTAGATCAAAGTTAAACCAAACAGATCAGACTTAAATAGTTAAATTGACAACACCAAGCTAGTATAGGCTTAAACAATAGTAAAACACACATACATCATATGTCTATTAAATCAGATCAAATCAAATATAAACAGATCATCCGTCGGAAAGTTTTAATCTAATTAATAACATTTGAAACGTTTTACCTCTGACAGAATTTTTTAAATGCTACATATAAATTCTAGAGTTGTTTCGTACATACCTTTTTACACGTTTCACGAACAATTCCATACATTTTTTAAATTTGTGTTTTTAACTAATTGAGTGTGATTCTCTGTTAGGGTTTCCCTCATCGCTTCAGAGCGGTGAAGGGCTTAGGTTCACGGCAGCGGCGGCCCTAGCAAGTCTAGGTTTTCGACAGGCGGCGCTATAACATTCTTGGCGCTTCACTGTCCTAGAGTTTTGCTAGTTTTCCTCATCTGGAGCACATGGTGGGGCGCGGGAGCATTCGGGATCGATGGGTCTTGGCGAATCTCAATTGCAGCATAGGGGAGATGATAGGGATCTGGAGACTGTTCGCGTTTGGACTGGTTGTGCTCGTGCGGTATGTTGACCAAGAGATAGAAGTGAATCACGAGCAGATCAGGGTGTTGAAGGAAGAAGATGAAGTGATGAAGATAGGGTGATTAGGAATCAGAACACCGCACTGGAAGATTGGGTTCAGCGACTCAATAAGTTCATCCTGCTTAAATTCATTGTCTCCATTTTTAGTCTGTTTTCGAAGAAATTCGTTGCTATCGTTTTGCTTTTGGTATTTGCTTATGGTAATAGGTGTTTTACATTGATCAAGGGTTCGGCTAGATTTGATATTGTTAGTAGGGGACGGATCTATTTTTTCAGCAATAGCTTCATTACGCCCGTCTGGTGGTTAGCGATTCGTATGGTTCCTGATGGAGTATATGGCCCGGGAACCCCCGGCCCACAGACTCCTACTACTCCAGCGAAGGCCCAACAGGCCCAGACCACAGCGCCCAGAGTACCAAGCAGCCCGCACTACGCGCCAGGGGTGCCTTCGGCCCCCTGGCCGAAGGCTCTAAACTCTCACAGGACGGGCTTCGCAAGCAAATTAAGAAACCGGGAAAAAACGGCGAAAACAGTAGCCCTCGGCACTGTGAGCCCTCAGCACCAGAGTGCCATCGGTTGGAGGAGCCCTCGGCTACTGCTCTATAGCCGAAGGCATCTCACTCGACAAGATATCCGCCTCACATGCGTGCAGATCACCGTACCCTGCACAGACGTCCCATCCAACAGCCGCATTAAATGCGGCCACATGCGGCTGCCAGCGCCAACCAGTTGAGGTGGCCCCTCGGCCAATGAGCGCTTGACACGTGTCCCTGTCCGGCATTTATTGCTACTATAAATAGCACCCCATTTCCTCATTTGTAACCACGCTGAAAACGGCATTCATACTGAATACATTCTTTCTCTACTTTTACTTACTTGCTCTGACTTCTCTCTAAGTTATTCCCCGTAATAACCCTTCGGATATATACCCCCGGGTAGACTATCCATCATTTGGTGCTCTCGTTGAGAGGTCGAACAATCAAGTAAGAAACCCTCCCCCTCGATCAAACGCAAAACACTAGCCCTCTATCAAAATGGTGAGAACAACACGTGCCAACTCAAAGAACGTAGAAGACAAGAACCTGGCCCTCGGCGACGTCAACGCCCCCGAAGCCTCTCACAGGGCTCCCGAGGGCGGTGTCATCGCCGGGCTGGAACAGGCGGCTGTCGACCTACGCCTTCAGATCCAACAAAATGCCCCCGATGCCCGCCTCGGCATCGAGGCCAAGAAGAAAAACCGGAGCGATGACCAAGTCAGCCCTCCGGTTCTCACCATCGACGTACAATCGGCGCTCTCCGCCTTCATCCAAACGCTCACCCAGAACCCGGGTGCCTTCGGCACCCTGGCTCCAGCTCACCCTCAGGTTGGGGAAAACATCATACTTCCCCCTCTGCCACACCCCTTCGGAAATCCCACCCCTCGGGTGAGGAACGACGAGGGGGTGGTGGCCCAAGACACGTCCTCCCAGGAAGTTCAGTCCCGGGACCGCCATAATGACAACAGGGAAAGGCCCCGTACTTCCGCCCTCAACCGGCTCGGAGGAGGGCCAGACCGCCGAGGGGTCCAAGACCGCCTCGGGGGGAAAGCACTCCAAAGGCCCCAGGAAAGCGGGGGATCTGTTTCGAGGGCAGACGAGGAGCGTCCCCCTCGGGACAAAGGCAAGGCACCCCTTCATGCCAATGACGCTCGCCACCAGATCAACCAGGCCCACTCGGCCCGGGTTCGTTCACAGGGGGCGGAGACCCTCCCGAAGGATCCCCGGGACGAGATTATTGCAGCCCTCCAACGCCGGCTTGACGAGATGGAGTCCAACAAGGCTCACGCCACCACCGCCGCCCCTCATTCAGATCTCAAATACGAGGCCATGATGGCCAAAATGGAGGAGTTGCAGAAGAAGGTGGCCGAGGGCTCCGGAGAACCCGTCATCCAGCTCCGGACTCAGACGCCATTTACCCCAAGGGTATTGGCGGCCCGGATCCCGGAGAAATACCGAGGGCAACACATACAGCCCTACAACGGGAAAACGGACCCCCAGGAACACTACAGCAAATACCAGAACAACATGATGATGGTGGGGGCGTCATACGAATATTTGTGTCGATGGTTCCTCTCCACCTTAGAGGGACCGGCATACGAATGGTTAAACAGGCTGCCCGAGGGCTGCATTGATTCGTGGCAAGAACTCGCCCAGCGATTCTTGACACAATTTGCCGGGAGGCGTCGCACAAGGAAGCACTTCTCCCACCTCCTAACAATACGCCAGAAGAAGGATGAGACCCTTCGGGATTTCCTAGAGCGCTGGAGGACGGAGGCCGACAAGGTCGACGGTGCTGATGACGGGACCCTCCTGGCCCTCCTACAAACCGTCCTCCGCACCGGCAACTTTTCAAGGAGCCTCATCATTGAACCCCCCCCCCCCCCCGCGACTACATAAGGGCTTTGCAGCGGGGGGACCGATATGCTGAAGCCGAGGAGGTGGAGAAGTATCACCAGCATCCGGACCAGCAGCCCCCGAGGGCTGACAATAAGTATAACCGAGGGCCGGGGGCTCCTCCAAATCACCTCAAGGCTGCGGGACCCTCTGATGACCGTCCTCGGCAAAGCCAAGCCAAGCCCGAGGGAGGTTATAAGAGCAACCCTAAGACTTGGGCACAACCCATTCTCCTGGACCGCCCTCGGACACCATTGACGCACCCCGTCAGCATCATCCTCGATTTTGCCGAGGAGGGGGGCCTCGTTGAGCGCGACTCTCGCGCACCCCCGGAGGTACACGCTATCAACCCTCAGTTCCCCTACTGTCGCTTCCATCGGCACCAGGGGCACAGGACCGATGACTGCCATCAGCTAAAGACGGCCATCGAAAGGTTGATACAAGCAGGGCACCTGTCCCAATTTGTTCAGAGCCCTCGGCAGGAAGGACCTTCTCATCAGGGGCCTCCCCGAGGGCACCACACGAAGGTAAATGCTTGGGTAAACCTGAATACCAGCCCCCTCGGCAAGAAGAGGGAGATTGGAAACTTGGAAGAAGAGGAGGAGGAGTACCCCCACTACCAGGAGAAAAAACGCCACATCCTCATGATCACCGGTGGCAATACGGGAGGCGATTCCACCAGCCAGCGGAAGAAGTGGGCTCAGTCGCTTTACGTGGGGGAAGTCACTCATATGCCCCCGGTGAAGCGACTGAGGGAGGAACCCATCACCTTCACCAACGCAGATCTCCCTCCTACTTCTTCCCCTCACAGGGATGCCTTGGTGATTCGGACGGAGATAAACGACACCATTATTCACCGAACTTACATTGACACGGGCAGCTTCGTCAATGTAATGTACCTCAGCACCTTCAGAGAGC